TGTTAAGTGCCATCGAGTCGGTTCCGACCCATAGCGACCCTGTACAGGGTTTCCGAGGGTGTAAATCTTTACAGGAGTAGAAAGCCTCATCTTTCTCCCACGGAGCAGCTGGTAGTTTCGAACCGCTGACCTTAAGGTTCACAGCCCGATTCGTAACCACTACGCTACCAGAGCTCCTTATATAGGAAAACATATTTCATATTATCAAGTCCATTGCTTAGATAATGAAGATTAAAGTTGTGAATGATTTCATTTTACTTGGGTCCACAATCAATGCTCATGGAAGCAGCAGTCAAGAAAGATACCTTTAAAGTGTGATGTGACTTGGAGGACTAAGGTGTGCCAGACACAAGCCATGGTATTTTCATTCATCTCATTTGCATGTGAAAGCAGAACAATGAATAAAGAAAACCAGTAAAAAATTAATGCATTTGAATTGTGGTGTTGGAAAAAAAAATGTTAAAAGTATCATGGACTACCAGAAGAACAAAGAAATCTGTCTTGGAATAAGTACAGCCAGAATGCTTCTTAGACGCAAGGATGGTATGACTTTGTCTCAAGTACTTTAGACGTATTATCAGGAGGGTCCAGTCCCTGCAAAAGGACATTATGCTAGGTAAAGTAGAGTGTCCGCAAAAAAGAAGACCCCCAATGAGATGGATTGACACAGTGGCAGCAGCAGTGGGCTCAAATGTAACAACAATTATGTGGATTGAACAGGACTAGAACAGTGTTTCATTCTGTTGTGCATAGTGTCACTATGAGTTGGAACCGACTCATTGGCACCTAACAATAACAGCAGTCCATTTTCTCATTTCACCGTCACTTGGAGAGCTTAAGTGAAGTGACTAAGTTAATGGTTGATAGATAAAAGGTCAAACTCAGATTGTGACTTTTTTATTCTTGTCTAATTGATCCTTTACTGTAGCTACTATAATAATATTCAAAAGGAAGTAAAATGAAATACTGGCTGCTTTCAGATAACCCTGAGAAAATTTTTGAGAATCTCTTTGGGATTAATCTTGAATCCACCATAGTTGGACTGCTAAATAAATAACTGTAACATTCCTGTCTCTGATGAGACCCAATCTCACCTACCTTTCTAGTTTTATTTCTCTTACTTAGTCTGTTCCATCACCTGCTTGTTTAAGCTAGACTTGCCCGATCCCTCCTAACTTTCATAGAGGTCTTCAACTTTGTGTTTGTGTTATACTAATATTTTTTTCTAGTGGGTTTTAGGGGAGGATTATGAACTACAGATACTACCATTGCTGTATACAAACTCTGATACTTGTATTTTTTTCTGGGGCAAGAGCCCCTCAGATTTTCAAGATATCTGTAATCTCTATAGAGTTAACCCTTGGGATCTTTACCATTTCCATCAACATCAGATTTTGCTTTTAACAGAATCCTTACTATTATCTAGACATTTCTTTAC